AAAAGAAATGAATTGTAATTAATCGATTTAATGTATCGTCAAAACAGCAAACTAACGCTAGAATAAAGAAATCAATTGTTACAATCGAACGTTATTTGAAAACAAATAATAATATCAGTGAGTCAAAAAAACCGTGATTAATTAATTATAAATAATTTTTTTAAAATTTTTCTAATTAAAAAATCGAAAATCGGGCTTCGAGGTCTGGTGGCCAGCCCCTTTGTGCTTCCGTATAAAAAATTCCAGGTCCCTGCGTGCGATAGATTGGCTGGAGAGCTCGGTCAGACAGACAGACAGACACATTACACTTGCTTTTATTATTATAGATACGCGGAATCTTAGTTCGTGCTTTCGGTAGCGGCTCAAAACTCACTACGTCCTCTACGGCATCAGCGCTATAGGAAGTGGGCCTTGGTGGGCATCGAAAGGCTTTATTGCGTGAGACGCAGGTGGAAAAAAAACCCGTGTTTCGATTTTTATTATATTTCTGCAACACGCAACAACGGCACGGTGTCGAGCTGTTTGCTGATATGCTGAGTCTTTAATTAACCCTCGTCTCAAGAAGACGAGCAGAGGCCCTAGGGACAAGCAAGCTAATACGCACTGTGCGCAGGAGGGTAACATATTCACGAAGAACTACCACGTAGAACTACTATCACGAAAGAATTTCGTGGCGGAGTATGTGCGAAATAGGTCAAGCCTAGTTCTAGTCAGCAGTGGCAGCCATATACCGCATATTCCAGCGTATAACGCACACCTGTAATTTCAAACTGCTTTCTTAATTTTCTGGTATAATCGTCGTTTAATGCGCACCTTTTTCTTTACGAAACCTTAAACATACATATGCAATACTCTTATCTGTTGAAGTCATTCATTCGAAGATTCTTCCCAGGCTTTCGAACAATTACGTACTGAATTAACAAGGGGAACAATGTGTATGGGAAATGCTTGAGGGAGTAAATAATCCTGCACAGAGGGTGGATTGTATTCAATGCAGATGTGCACAAGAATGTTATTTTAGGGTTTCGAGAAAGGGGGACATAATTTGGGGTAAGAATGCATTTCCGACCAGGATGAATTCGCTAGTCAGACGTTTTCCGTGATGCCGTGATTTTCAAGTGAACATCGAAAGTTTGAGTAAATCGCATTTGCTTTGGTTGAAATACAAAGTTGATCTCGTGTTCCTTTTAGTAGTAAATATGGCTCCTGCCAAACGAAGCAAACAAAGCTGTTTTCAAATGTAAAGTCATTCAATTTGTGAACGAAAATGGAAATCCTGCTATAACAAGAATGTTTGATGTTGGCGAAAGCTCCATACGTGAGTGGGAGAAAAATGAAATCACAATAATTAATATTCCGAAGAATAAGTGTGCTTTGCGTAAAGGAGTAACGAAGTGGCTTATTCTAGAAGAAAATATTGTGAACTTGGTCCTAAGAAATCGCAAAAATGGATTAATTGTAACAAGAAACAGCGTAAGTTGATTTGCTTTATAAGGTATTTTCTCCCTCCTTTCCGAAAGTTTTCGTGGTGCAACTGGAAGCAGACTCAACGCGTATTCGGAAAGCCCCGAGTTTGAGCCCCGGCGAGGCCACTACAAATTTTTTAAATATCCAGCATCGAAAAACCTAATGACTCTGCGGCCTTAAAGGGAGCAAAAACGAATACAAATGAAATCACAAATAAGCAAATTTAAAGCAATTTTGAACTGGTGTATTCGACTTATGGCACGGAATAATTTAGTTTTGTGACAAGAAACCAAAGTTTCGCAAAGGCTTACGACAGATTTGGACAAATTAATAAGTTTTCAAAAGTATGTTATTGACCTACAAAGGCAAAAATAAAATATTTACTGTCACTTATCGGAAATATGAATGAAACTTCAGTAATGTTTGATATTATAGGAAATAAAATAATTCATGTGAAAGGAACAAAACCGGTTCACATAAAAACAACAGGTCACGAAAAGTCTCACCTCACCATAGTGCTTTCCTGTTTAGTGGACGGTACAATATTAAAACCCATGGTTATTTTTAAAAGAAAGACTATACCGAATTGTAATTTCTCGAAATATAATGTAATCTGGTGTTTTCATTCATGTTCACGAAAAAAGATTTCATTCATTTCACGAAAACGGTGGGAAACTATGGATAAGAAATATCTGACAAAAGAATTCAGAAAGGTTTTTAGTTTGGGAAATGTTCAGATCCCATCTAACGGATAATATGAAGAAATTGTTGAAAGAGCGTAATACAACATGACAGTTATTCCAGACGGATAAACGCCATTAGTTCAGCTTTTAGATTGTTTGTATCAATAAACTAGTCGAAGAAAATTAGGAACGACAGTGAGGATTACATGGATGTTAGAATTTTCAATTATTAACCTTTTCATTACCATAAGGTCATATTATATTTCAGAGAATTCATGGTCCATTAGAATATGCATTCCATTAAAAAAACGTATTGCGATACAATTTTCCCCACTGTCCTTAAGAGTAAAAATATCAGATTTCATTAAATGCTTAAAAAATTTAAATGTTTATGGAGATAATATTCCATGAATAGTCTATGAAATAATGACCTATTTTGTATATTGGCAACATCAAACTAACATCTCATCCCCATTCACGGAGGGATGAGTGGAATCCAGTTTAAACAATTGAACAATCCAGTATTATTTTGTGGATTGTTCGAAATGTTCCGTTTCCTTAAATGCTAACACCAGAATGAAATTTCTGCTTCTCTTTAATTAATGGACTAATATTAATACTTATAACTCTGAACATTATAGACTAACGCAATAAATAAATTTCTAATTCGTGCGCTGAAAAATAGCATTTTTTCAATGAAATGGAAATGTATATTTAACTATTTATAATATATATGGAAATGTATATTTATTATTAATGAAAATTTAACTCATTAGAAATTTACGCAAGAAGCATCTCATAAATTCGAAGATGGCATTTCCTGTAATTTGTACATTTAAATCTCTTTGAAAAAGACAGTATTTAAGATAAGATCATAACACAAATATTACAATGTGAGAGGACTACTACACCATACAGTAAAGTATACCATAAAATAAAATTAATTTTTTTAGTAGGCTTTTATTTAAAACTGATAAAATAATTAATGAATTAGAAGGAGAAAAATAATTTATCATACAGTTTAATCGCAAAAAGAGATTAAATAGATTTTCACAAAATTCATCTACAATTTTAAGTCATCAATAATAAAAGCGTGGCGCACCCTACATAAATTTATAATGAGAACAGCTTATATATTTTTGACAATGCTATTCTATTTATAGATTTCATTATTAGGCGTAAGCTCTTTTACTATTCGAGGAACAAAATTGTAAATGAATTTTGTAAAAAGAATTATTTAATCTCTTGTTCCCATTAATATAGATGTAAATTATTTTTCTCCTTTTAGTTCATTCATTATTATATGAGTTTTACATACAATTTTACAAAAACTTTTATTTTTTTTTCATCTTATTAATCTCAACGACACTTTATCTATTAAATTATTCAACTGAAAAGTTGTTTTTAACAGCAAATAATCATTCTTTTACTTCCAACAATTCTGTTACCTCAAATGTCGAAATGATCCAGAGATTTCGCAAAATAAGTAAATAAATAAATAACTCAAAAATTATGTTAAAAAATGACATATAAAATTCATACAAAAGAATTTTTTGTTCTATCCAATATCGCAACAAAATTCTTAAAGTTTAAATTTCTTAACGAAACGGAAATATGCGCAAAAATAATTTCAACATTAATATTTAAAAGTCTAAATCAAATTTTAAAAAATTCGCTTCACTACTCTATATTATCATCCAAAATGAATATGGTGCAAAATTTGAGCTGCAAAGCTTATCAAGAAGTATGTTAAAAATTAATAACAAACTTCGACCACGCGAAAAACATGTTAGTTGAGTTATAAAAAAACAAGATTTCTTGAAAACATTGAGAAAGAATCTTTTTTTTTTTTTTTTTTTTTTTTTTTTTTTGAGATGAGAAAGAATTGATTGAGAAAGATTGAGAAAGAATCATTTTGAAGAATCTTTTTAATTTGAATTTGTTATCGATATTAACTGTTATACTTTGAATTACACATGTATATAAAGCCGCATTCGCTTAATTTGAACTGAGAATACAGTGACAGGTATGAAATTAAATCTCTCCCGGGGCCGAATGCGTAATCCAGTTAACTCGGCTCAATTACGTTGCGACCCAAAGGTTATTTTAATGTTCAACAGCTCTAGCTTTCATCGGAACTGCGATTTAATCTAACTTTCGCATAAACATTTTGCAATTTCATTATCGGAATGCAGTACTCATTCCTCGAATCTGAAGTTAGTAACAGAGGAAATTAATTTTCGAATGAGCAAATTGTAGCAATGCATATTCAGTACAGCATATTGTGAAAGAATTTAAAACCTTTTTTAGGATGCGAACTGTAGAAAATTTAGGATTCGCATCGTAACTAGTTAACAGAATCTATGATTCCATGAAAATTTAGGATTTTTAAGTATGGAAACATACTTGAAGAAGAAAATCTTGTATGTGCAGATATATATGTGTGTCACAAATTTTGAGCGATAAAAAATACGGAAACACATGCATTTTTAAAAATTATGTCAAACAAAGACATATGAATTTATTAATCGTGTTTTATTTCTAGAAAACCTCGTCCGGTTTCAAATAATTCAGAATATTAGCAGAACTGGCTGCCTGGACAAAGTACTGTGGTGTATTTAGAGAACATTACCGTTAATCACTATTAATCACATTTAAAAGTTTTGAAAAGTCTAACAGTAAGGAAACAGATTTTTAAAACATTGCAAATCGTTTACATTTACCTTGCTTTCCAGATTATAAATGAGTACTGAATATTACGCAAATAATTTAAGCTATAATTTTTATATTCTAAAATACATCCAAACAATAAAATAAAAAATGTACTTAAAATATCAAAATATGTCTTACCTTTAACATTAATATAATAAATCCTGGGTGCGATAGTTATTTGTGAAATGGTCAAAACATGAAATCTGTTACTGCTGATATCAAGTTCTTCCAAACGTGGAAAATGTTTCAAAAATCCATTAAATCTACTCAGGCGATTTTTAGCAAGGAAAAGAGTTGTCGATGGCAATGTTAATAGTGATGAGCTTGAGTTTAAATACTTTAAACCATTATCGTTCAAATTTATAACAGTTAAATTTGAAAGCGAACTTATTTCATGAAACGAAAAATCTAATATTTTGTTTCGAGATAAATCTACAGCTTTCAAACTAAACAGTGGGCGCAAACCTTCGTTTAGAAACAGTAACTTGTTATTTGATAGATCTAAATTAGTCAAGCTCGTTAGATGTGTGAAACTGTCGTCATTTAGTTGCAAAACGTGATTGCAGCGAAGATTTAGTTCCTTGAGTTGTCTCAAATTCCACAGAGATGTTCCTAGTTCGTGTATATCATTGTGTTGAAGATCAAGGACTTCCAAATTGTGTAGATTATGCAAAGAGCTTCCCAAGTCAGATATCCTATTGTTAGCTAAGTTCAGATGCTTAAGTTTAAAAAGTTCTTTTAGTTCTCCTTTGATGCTAAGCAAGAAGTTATGGTCTAAGAATAGCCATTCCAAAGAGAATAAATTCCGAACAGATTGGTTCAGAGTGATCAGAGAATTTTTAGACAAAAATAGTGTGACAAGACTCACCGGAAAGGATCCTCGTCCGATATGACGTAGGTTGTTATCCGACAAACAAAGATGTTTCAGCTGTTGGACGCCGGATAAGTCGGAATAAAGAATTCTGCGCAAATTGTTAGTTTTAATGCTGAGGGTCATGAGGGATGGCAAGTGATTTAATGATTCCGAAGGAAATGTCAACAAATTGACATTGTGCAAACGTAGAACTGTTAACGAATCCATTCCTTGGAATGCTGCAGAAGAAATGTATCTAAAATTGCTGTCCTTCAATTCAAGACGATTCACTTTAATGCTACTGAAGGCTCTTGAAGGTAGCCTAGTAAAATGAGCATTCCGTAGTTTAAGGTACGGGATGGGAAAACATTGGAACCATTCTTTCAGTGCACTATGGATGGTCTTTAAATTGCTTGCACCATCGCACTGTATAGTAGGAATAATGGGCACGCGAGTACACTTACATGGCTTTATAGCAGTGGCAGGCGGGCACGCGAAATCATCATTTCTTGGCATCTTGCACAAACTTCGCTTCTGCAGGTATCCCTCTACTAGCACGAAAAAAGCAAGAATGAGCATCTGCAATCGCATCCTGTTATCGCTCTCAAACCTCTTGACGCAGCGCATTGAATTCATCGCTGTCGGTAGGCCAGCCTACATTGCGGAAACTAATGACTCTGATTTGCTGAGATCACTCAACAAGTTACAGAATCAAACTTTTATCTCGAGTTTCCGATTAACTGCCATTGAAATGAACTTTAATCACAGTTAAGGAACAAGATACGAAACTCGCGCGCGAACATGACGCAGTTCTAACGCCACAGCGCTTAAACCGCGTGCGGGGAATGCCGGCGAGGATGTACTGTCACATGGAATGATTCACGAGAGTTAACTACCAGGGGAAGAGCTAGTTTCTGGCCAGTATCCAAAAATAATTTCTGCTATAGTTTAGTACACACGTACGAACGCAAACACTTTCTACTCCAAAAGAAAAACAAAGGACAGTAGGGAAGATTAATCCTTTCTGGATAAATATTCACGCGATTTTTCTTTTTATTCTCCTGTCAGCTTTTAAACATTAGTTGGCCTTTCAGTATCTGCGCTTTTATCATAACTAGCTACGTAAACGAAGCGATGGAATTCGTTCAAGGACAGAGCTGATCATATGCACTGCTGTGCCAGAAATTTGCAGCGCCCGAAAAGAAAACTTAAATAGGCTGTTAAACCTTAAAAAGACATTCTAGAAATGCATGTGGTTTAGTTTATGTGCAGTGTTTCCAAGTTCTTGCTTTGCTTTAAAATTATTATTTCGCTCTTTTACGAGATATACGAAAAATTAAAGAAATGAAATTATATCCCAGTGCATTATATCTTACTACGATTGTTTTGTGTTTTTAAAGTTTTTGTTGACGTTTAGTTATTAATATTGGCTTTAAAACTAAAACAAGCAGAAAAACAATCAAAATTTTAAATAAAAAATATTACAAATTAATTTAAAATAAATGTTTGCCTAAAACTCATAAAAGAACTAATGACCTAAAAGGAGAAGAATAATATATTATGCAGTTTCATCGGAACAAGAGATAAAATAATTCTTTTCATAAATTCATCTACAATTTTATATCACGACTAATAAAAGCATAGGACGCTCTAAAAAATTTATGAAAATTGTACATGAATTCTGTTAAGAGAATTAATTAATATCTTGTTTTCATGCGCATTAATTATGTGATAAATTATTTTGCTTGTTTTACTTCATTTTCTAATGAGTTTTATATAAAAAATAGTTATTTTATAATTTTTTTATTTCGCATTTTGAATCTTAATGACACACTGTTAATCCAATTATTCAACTGATTAATCTTTTTTCAACAATATAATTAATCTTTTACTTCCGAAAATTCTATTACGCCAAACGGTCGAAAATTCGAGCTGTTTTCGAAAATTCGCCGAACAGTCAAAAATTATGTTACAATTTTCATATAAGTTTCAATTAAAATACTTTTTTTCGCTCTATCCGATGCTGCAAGCAGTAAAATTCTGAGATTTTTTACAAACGGTGTTTAAGCATTTTTAGAACAATTTCGGGACCGTTCAATTAATGTTTAAAATGTAAAATGTATTTTCTGAAATGTTTGATTTGATAGCCACTTTTCTAGAATATAAGTCTACATCGTAATTTCCATGCTAGAAGGAGTTTTCGTAAAATTTCAAGGGGTATTGATTTCCATTTCTTTTCTACGCCTTTCCAGAGTCCATCTATCGTGGTGGGTTTGCGCTTAAAAAGAACTCTTTTCAGGATAATCCACAGGTAAAACATCAGGGGGAATTTGCAGGAATGCACTGAAAAAGGATATATGCAATACCTGTATCAGTCTTTATGTTTTCAAAGAATGCACTGGTACTCTTCCAAACATGACTTGTTGCTTTGTGTTGATGAAGTTTCACTCTTTGAAAGTAAGGTAAAGAAACTGAATTTCTTCTGTAAACATCGTACGTAAAACTTTCTTTTGATAGTTCCTTTAAAGGATTTCTCTTAATTTGAATAACCAGTTATTCCAATTTTTGTTATCTTTTCTGAATTTCATTTCTCGGTCAAGATGCAAATTAAGAAGAGTATTTAAACGGGTGAAAAGAGAAAATTATACAGTGATTTCGCTAATTGCTATTTTCTCCTTCCTGCTGTTAATCTTTGTTGCCGATACGCCTTCTGGCCGTTTGTTAAAGGTCCATCGCCGAAGTAGGTTGCTGACTCAGACTGTTAGTCTTAAGTAGCCCAGCACTACTCTTTGTCATTTAAAGTTATTTCTAAATTATTCGTAAGTTCCCACTGCAAGTAGTCGGCGTTATTGTGAGTACGAAATACGTGCATTCTTGTTAAAGAGTTTAATGAAATAAAAGGACAATTTAAACTCTTTGTACTATTTTTTCACGCCGGTGCGAGAAGTCGCCTGGCTTATTACTAAGATCGTATCTTTGCATGATAACTAAAAGAGTAAGATCCTACACTTCAGGTGATTTTTAAGACTTTTTCCCACTCTTCTTTTTTCCATTGTGAGACAATCCTGCTAAAATCTTAAATTCCTCGCTGAAACTTTCTGCGCATTAACGGAAGCAGGTTTGTACACTTTTGATTCGTTTTCGATAATAAGTAGACCTTTTTGGCCGCAGTCATGTAGATAAACCCATGCTTCATCAAGGATTACAGTGTATCACAATGTTATGCTAAACACTTTTCATATAGGGTTCTATACAAATTGTTCGGCGTTGAGCCACATGTTTCTGCAAAAGATTGCTTAAAATTATGTTTTTTAGTTTTTAAGTTGTATATCTTGGTTTATTATTTGATTTATTGTTGCTGTGCAAATGTATTTAAAGACTTTGAGACTGATTTCTGCGTCGGTGGATTTTCTCTTATTAGCAACGATTTAATTTTAGAAACGTACCGTTTTCGGATATTTCCTTAGAGACTTGTTGTAAAAGTATTGATTGATGGTTTTTCCTTTTCCGTTTAATAATGTTGCTTATTTTACACTTAGAAATTTTAATACCGTGCCTACAACGTTTTTGAATTATGGGATAGGAATACTTTTCATCAGTAAGCACAAAAAACATATGCACTGCTGGCTATTAAAATTGCAACACCAGAAAGGAATAATCTAACGAACGTCAAAATCACAGGAAAGGAAAAACAGATTGGAACATGCAAATGATTAGTATTTCAGCCTATTTAGACGACGCAGGAGGAAGAAACGCTGAAGCACTGCATAAAAGAAAAGTTGTGTAGTGAATTTCTCATTCGGAAAGCGCTTTGTAAGGTCGGACTTTCCCCAGAATATCGTGCTATGTCTCGAATAATAAGAAGAAATTCTTATTAGCAAGTGGAGGATTTCAATAGAGGCAGGATCGTTGCCTACCGAGATGTGGATTGTTATTCCGTGATATCGCCCGTCGCACTGGTCAACATCCAACCACTGTCATGCGAATATGGAATCAATGGGTTGCTGAGGTCATACTAAACGGCATGCAGGATTTCAAAGCCCTCCTATGACTAACGGTCCTATGACCTCCTATGACGGTCAAGAAATGGGCATGTTTTCAGCACGACAGTATAAGCTTGTAAGGTGCGTCGACGTTTGCAGCAGCGTGGTCTATCAGCAAGGTGGCTATTACTTCGGTTTCCCTTGACAATGCAGGCATAGAGAGAGACGGCGATTCTGGTGCGCCAAGCGACAAAGCTGAATACAGGAGTGGCACAATGTTTGCTTTTCAAACGAATGCCGGTTCTGCGTGTAGTATTCTGATGGCCGTACACGTGTCTGGAGGCTCCGAGGAGACCACACGTCGCCTGCTTGCATTCATTATCGTCATAGGGGCTCTGCACCTGGTGTGATGTTTTGGGAATCCATTGAGTACACGCCACGCACATCTCTAGTTCAGATCGACTGTAATTTCAACGTTTCTGACATCTTATGCCCAGTGGTTGTGCTCGATCTTCGAGCCTTGCCAAACGCCATCTTCCAACAAAATAATGCAAGAGCACATGTTGTATGTCGTGTTTTGGCATTCCTCGATACACAAGGTATGCGACTGCTACCCTGGCCTGCACGGTCTTCAGATCTGTCACCCACTGAAAACATCTGGTGATGGGTTGCTGAGAGACTGACCCGCTACCCCTCTCCAGCTAACACGGTTGATGTGGCATAGACTCCAAACAGCATGGAAATTAGTTGCCCGTTTCTGTAATCCAAGCCCAGTCCGACTCCATGCCTAACCAAGTAACGGCTGTTTTAGATGCCAAGGGTGGTAGCTGTTTCTGCTAATTTCGCGCCCCTGTAAACCCCCAAACTGCTAACAAATTTAATCATTTTATCTTCATACCATACTGTCTACGTAAAATAAATATCTTTTTATTCCAAAGGGGCAGTTTGCCGCGAAAGACTATTAATTTCGTTTTGGCATTTTGCGTTGATTCACTACAAGCATTGTTTCACTTTTTAAATTGTTGCCACGAAATATTATCATCCTGTATTGTATTTAAAGAAATTAAATAATGAAAAATCTGAATAAATGTGAGTATGTTTCTCGCATTGTAATAAACCAACGGTACCTAGAGCCATCAAATTTTGAATAACGTAATCCTACGAATATAGGCATCTGGAAGCCCAAATGTGAAATTTGGAATTTGTTTTATTGTTGATTTCATATTTTGTAAAACTTTAACAATTTTTTGATTAACAAACTCAAGGATTTCAAAGTGAGCAATGGCAACGTTGTACAAGGAATATATATATATATATATATATATATATATATATATATCCAGTGCGAATCTGTGCATCGGAAATTCTAAAGGTATGCTCATTTTAAAATTATTTTGCGACATTGCTCTCGAACTGAATTTTATGGTTTAAGTGCGAAGAACATGACACTTAATAAATAACGGTAAGACACAAAATGGTGTTGCTATTTTAATGGCTAGCAGTGTACTTCAATCCCCAGTTTGTTTGCATGCGACATTTTGAAAGAAGAATCCATTTAAAAGTAGAACACAATCTTTCTTATTTCAAATAATAAGCTGTAGCCAGAAATGTATATTCCAAAGCGTTTGCTTTTTGTTAAATTCCTTATCGAAATTGATCTAAAAAAAATGTGTGAACACCCTCTGTAATTTGTTCATTAAAGAAAAATATGTATGAAAAATCGGTTCACTATGAAATTTAAGGGGAAAAAAGTAAACCGAAATCTAAAAAAAATTGCTCATTACATTGTGTCGTCATCCACAAAGAATGCATGCGCAGAAGTTGATCTCAATAGATTTTCTGTTTAGAAATCGACGACAGACTTTTGACCATAGTGACAAATACCATGAGTGACCTAAATAAAAGATTATAAAAATCGTAACAGCTGCGTTCTGATTTTCGGTTAGAAAATATATGAATCATCATTATAATAGCAATTGATTTCTACCAGACGAATAGCGCATATTCGAGAAT